GTGGAAAATATGGTCATTTTCCTGAAAGAGGGGAGTCCATTTTTAGTACCCACCTATACAAACATTCAATTCAGGCATTCAGCCGAATAGTTTTTCAACCTGGAGATAGTGGCAACACTCGACATTACATATTTGACAAGAGCCTTCACACCTAGTCTGGGTTGTGTGGCATCTCACTGTGCATGAATGTTGCCTTCATTTTGACACAACAGGCTTGTTTGCCAACCGTTTTATCATGTGCATGCATTCATCATCTGATGGCTGCCAAATATGGACACAGAACAATTCACAATACATGCTCAGGTCCACTTTCTCCTAAATGGCCAAATGAGGAAACCTATCAAGTTTGTGCATTGCAATACTGTACTCACTTAAATTGATGGTCTCCCACATTGGAGGAAGGACATTTATCAAGCAGCTGACAAATGACGCTCATTAAGACTGAGCGAGTCAGCTGGGCGACTCACCGAGGCACACACTCGTTTGGCGGATTTGTGTGTCACAGATGTCTCCTACAACACAGGCGGCATTTAATACGATCCATAATTCAAGCTGAAAACGACAAGTCACACAAAAAAAAAAGTTTGAAGAAATACGCAGCTCATCACATGCACTGCTTACACCCGCTTAAATCAAATCATTTTAAATACAAGAGTTAATGACCCCGACTGGCCGTGTAGCCCATGTGACCACAATGACGTCACAGAAAATATTTTGATTGGCCAAGTGGCCGACACACTATACTTCAAAGTACTGTAAAACTGTAAACATTATCTGGAATCTTAGTAATTGGTGAATTAATATTATCTGTTTTAAACAGTATGAAACAGAAAGCTCAAGTGGAAACCAGTTACGAGGAAAAAACATTTTTTTCATCAAATACCATCATTTGAGAGTTTGTGCCTACCTTTGGTTTGAGTCCATCTTGCGAAGAAGGAGGGAAATAATGCTGAGGCAAATTAACTTGAACCACCCTTAATCATGACAAAAGGGTGGGATTTCAGTTGCAAATAGACACCAATTTGGGTTGAGACCCAGGTGGCACCCCATTTTAACAACGTATCAGCATTACATATGACTACAACTGACTACACAGGCTATTTTATGACTGAGTGATTTTAATTGCAACCTTGTCATTCTGTTTTTAATACTGTCCCCGAACTTTTAACACTGATCTGCAGTGTACAATCTTGCTAGATTTTTTTTTTTTAGCCTAGCCGTTCAAAGTACGATGGACAAATGTGAGGGTAAACACAGCATATATAGAATAATCAATTACACAGAATATCATTTAAAGAATATTAGTTGAATGAATAATTTGCTTGCTATTCCTCTGTTATCTTTTTTGTTGCTATGCATCGGCCTACTCCCTCTCTTGTCTCCTTGGGGAATTGCTAAAGGTCTTTGTCTCTCTGTGTGACTCCTCTCAGCCTCATTAGTGGCCGTCTGTCACATCTGAAGTCTTTGTCCTCTCTCTCTCTCTCTTTTCTCTCTCTCTCTCTCTCTCTCTATATATATATATATATATATATAGTATAAGGAACGTCAAGAATCTGATATTGTAATATACTCGATATAAGCACTGATGGATCCAAAAAGTTGTCAATAAAGATCTTATTTTCTGAGCAAATTATTCCAGTTGTACCTCTTACAAAACTTATTTCACCTTGCTATTATTCTAGTCAACAGCCCATCACCTTTATTTTCCAGTTTTCTTTACGCTGGATTCACCCTGTCCTCCACACCTTCCTTTGTTGTCTGCTTTCATTTCTGTATCATGGGCCTATCCGGTAATTACCGCTGTTACCATGGTTACAAATGGCTAGTGCATGTGTGTGTGTGTGTGCGTGTGTGTGTGTGCGTGTGTGTGCCAGCTGGTAAAAAGTGAATAAATTAAATATCCTTGGTATCTTTCACTAGGAATTTAAATCAGTGAAATATTCAGCAACGTTGCATCATGTTTTATTTTGTGTTGGGGTAGGGGGTGGAGTCATATTTAATGGCCTGTGACCTAAACACTTTTGCAATTCATGAATCAAAATTGGTCCATGTCCACAAACCATCACGAAAAACATGCAGCTCCTCTTTAAAAACACCCTCATTCTAATCTAGAGTACCGTATGTGAATTGGGAAAGACACTGATGACAGCGGTACTGAAAGCTTGAATCAAATCGTGTGTGTGTGTGTGCGCGTGTGTGTGTGTGTGTGTGTGTGTGTGTGTGTGTGTGTGTGTGTGTGTGTGTGTGCCATGAATGCCACATGCCAGCTGGTAAAAAGTGAATAAATTAAATATCCTTGGTATCTTTCACTAGGAATTTAAATCAGTGAAATATTCAGCAACGTTGCATCATGTTTTATTTTGTGTTGGGGTAGGGGGTGGAGTCATATTTAATGGCCTGTGACCTAAACACTTTTGCAATTCATGAATCAAAATTGGTCCATGTCCACAAACCATCACGAAAAACATGCAGCTCCTCTTTAAAAACACCCTCATTCTATTCTAGAGTACCGTATGTGAATTGGGAAAGACACTGATGACAGCGGTACTGAAAGCTTGAATCAAATCCTTTTCATCCTGCTTTGCTTCTGATGAGCTCTACTGGGAGGATTGGAGTAGAATTGGCTTGGATTAGTTTAACACAGCCATGTGGCCATCAGCGCCAAAGACAAAATCTCTGGCTATTTTTAGCTGCTGCAGATGTCTGTGCCAACAGTCATCATTATTTAGATTGAGGGTTCATAGGTTCGTTTTTGATCAGTGATGGACTGTTCTGTGAAATGACAAACTGCAACGCATACAACCGATGAGGGATAATCCATCGCTTTCATGAACAGTGTGTGACTAAACGTGCGTTGCCCTCCTCATGCATTTTTTGCAAAGGCTGTTTTCTTGGTGAAATAAATTGGTCATACTCTGAATTTCCTGTCACACCGTAAGATGAATGGGATGTGTTTAGTATTTCCAAAGACAATTTTGCTGATTTATTTAACCAATATAGGTTGAGTGAAAAGGCATTACAGCCACAGGTCACAGCACTATGGAAGTTGGTGGTCTTCAAGAGCAATAACACACCACCATCTAATGGTTATCTCTGTCTACAGTCGGTTCATATTTCAATAGCAGATTAAATTTTAGGATTGTTTTCTTTTTCTCTTCCTTTTTACCATTTAAATCTGTGTTCATGTTTCTGAAATCGCCTTAACCAAGTCGATCCTTTGAAAATACATGTTCCCAAGATTTAAAATTAATTAATAAAAAAGTTCAGTCCCAAACATCATAACAATGTCTGCCAAGAGAACTTTTGGGAATATATTATTTCGCCGTCTATTTATTTTTAATGATAAAATGTATCGATATGAATCACTGATAATAAAAAAAACTACTATGGTACACTTCTGCATGATGTGTGCCTTCCTATAAACAATCTGTACATTGTTCAAGACTCTTTGGAGGAACCGACAAAGAAGGCTGCTCACTATTTCGTTATACACGTAAATAAAAATAAATTCTTAATCCATTTTTTATACTGCTTGTCCTCTCTGGGTCACAGGTGAGCAGGAGCCAATTAATACGAGAAGTGGGTTGCACAATGGAATGGTCACCAGGCAATCATTCACATGCACACTTATATGGATACAGCAATGGACAATTAACTTGATATGCATGTCTTTGGAATGTGAGGAGTAGCAGAGTACCTTGAGCACAGGTATCAAACGTTATTTTCCATCGTCTGCAAAAGCAAATTACGTGCATCAACCTGTTTCTTGCTCATACAACAAAATTGCAGCAAATTGTCGTCACTTTTGATGTAGAGATATTACAAGCCTTTTTTGTTACGAATCCCACTTCTAAAGTAAGTGTAATAACGATACAAGCTCTAGTTTCAAAACTACTTATTCATCAGTTTGTAGGACAAGCAATTCAGAGAATAGATGGGTGGAATGATTCAATATGTAGCGATCGTACATTCATTTGGGTTCACAGTCATAATTACCCTTCGAAGGAAGCCATAATTGCGATGTGACAAAAATAAGTTTCACACCTCTGACCTAGAGGAAAAATATGGCAAGACAAAACATACAAACTCTACATACAAACGTGAACCAGAAGTATTTCAAGTCAACAGCCTATCCGAGGAGGTGCCACGGCGGACAAATTACATCATTGCTCATCCATCAATGCCAGAGACCTAAAGTGACAGGCAGAGCAATGAAATGCTCTTCTGTTAGATGTCAGAAGGTACAATAAACCCGTCTATCCACATTTCCCCATTCGTACAACAGAATAGAAGAAGTCACGGCTTTCTGCAAGTGTGTCACCTTTTTGTTAAATCAAACAGGTCCAGATTTCACACTGAGTAAGACAATTTGTGAGAAAATTGAGAAGAGGTCATTATTATTTCAGTATTCATATGTCTTGTGGAGTTTTTGTTTGGTATTAGGCTGTAAGATTTTACTCATGTGCGACTTGGCTCATGGAAGCTCAGGAGACACTGGCCTACTCCACAATTTTGTTCCTGCTGGTAACCGTAGTGACGCTGAGTCGAGACATGTCAATCACCCTAGAGGGCAGTAGAAAATAACCATGTACAATGGCCTTCGCTTTATTTTGCTTTTTGTTGCGTTTATAGGGATAGTAGAAGAGGTGTACCACATTTGATTAAATTAAGATGTGAGAACCATGTAATTAAAAAAGAACTCCGGGTTGGACCCACTTAAATGAAAACATGGACACGCCACATTCTTCATCACTATTCAGGCAACGCGTCAACAATAACGTGACACTGCGTAGTAAGGATAATGCATAGGGGATGAAAATGGGGCAAGCATAAATCATTGAAGAGATTCATTTGTTCCCGGTTTGCACACATCGGATCAATATCCCTATGTGTTTTATTTAGGGTGACTGGCATCCAATCCTTAAACAACACAACTGTATTCACTTCTGTTAGCATTACCAAACAGTAATACAGTAACAATCAAACAGGAGCATACCTACCAGGCACCTGCACAACGGATGCCACGTCTTGCTTCTGTCTGTTTTCACCACGTATATGTATATATTCCAGCCAAGGCATAAAAGGGCAGTGCTCTAACACGTCATCCTACCACCAGTAGGACGACATGAGTATGACCTAATAATATATCCCCCAAGAAGCAAAGAATAAAAAAAGTAGCTGGATGGACAAGAAAATAGGCAAGCGCTCCTCAGATACTTCTGGACTGAGGCGATTCAGAGCATGCCCGGCAGAAAATCCCAGGGTATTAAAACATCACATGACCACCCATCTCCACCGCCAGTCATAGAACAAGTGGATAGGAGAAAAGCAACTGAGAGGGAGGCAGGGAGAAGACAAGAGTGAATGGGAGGCGGGGGGGGAGATGTCACAGTGCTGCTCAAACCGCCTTTTCATTACAGTCACCGAGACATAGGAGACAGGACCCAATAATACATGAGGACCATGCTGATCTGAGCCCCTCCCTGAGCGAAAGTGCCAACACCGAGGCAAACATGGAGGCAGGGAGACAAAAGGAAAGCCCAGAAGGACAAAAGAAACCCCTTGGATAAGTAAAAAGACACACACACACACACACACACACACACACACACACACGCATGCAGAAAAAAATGCATGAAATGAAAATTCATGAAAATGTCATGGTCTCTGACTGATTATAATTATTTTTACTAAGCTTTACAATTTTAATTACAATTCGACAGAATCATAAAAATGATCTTACCGTATGACAACACGACAGTGCATGATAAGATCAGCAATTTCATTTAGGATGGACATACCAGTGAGTTCACAACCTTTCAGGCTTAGCTCTATAACTCAGGGAGCAAAAAGGACATTCAGCATCCACAATGTCTGCCTCATTGCGCACACTGAATGCACGCTTTGTCATAGAAAAAAACCTACAATCGCTTTATTATAATGAAATAATCACTTTTTATCTTGACATAATCCATCACATCAACGTTTCTTCCTGCTGCGACATTGCATTTGTGAAAACAGTACTGTATCTGTTTTGATTCAAATGAACATCCTGAACGGTAGATGGCGGTAGTCACCTCAATAATGACTGTTTGAACTAGTTACGCCAGATGAAGAACAAGGTATAAACATCAGAAAACGGCCATCTACTCTTCAGCTGGCGACCACCTTAAAATGCCTTCTGTTAAGATATTAAGAGCATTTGTCAGTGAGAGGCTGACTGCGGCTGCTGAGGAGATTATGATGATGTTTGAGAAAACAATAGCCGACTATGAGGACGAGATCAAGCATCATCGCAGGCTGCTGGGAGCTGCTCAGCTATCCAGCAAAACACTCGATGACCGCGGATCAGGTCTGTTCGTTAGATCACTCAATGTTTCATATCATTTTACCGCCCTCTGTCTAATCAGTATTTACAAGAGGATCCCTTATGATAGAAAACAAGAGCTGTTCGTTTTAATTGCAATTAAATGTGTGTTCAAAGCTGGACGTATCTAACGTGCCAACTGTGGCACATACAGTACAGTACTTCGGGAAAACGGTCTTTTACTGATAGTTTGGCGAAATGACACGTTTAAAAATATATTGGTCGGCCATTGAATATTAATAGTCTATTATTAATATTAAAGCCCGTTGAAGATCCAGTTCTCACTTGTCAATGACGAGTTTTTAAGTCCATCCTTCCTTTCATTTTCTCGATCGTTATCGTGGTCGGGGTCGCGCCGGAGCAAGAGCTTGTCCCAGCTGACTTCTGGAGCCGCACGAACTGTTGCATGAATTGATGAAGCCTGCTCGGATTAGAAGCGAAATGTCTTCCAGACAACCACAACAGTCCAACTGCCCTGAGATGAAATTACCCCAATTAAATGAAAATATTAATAGGGCACTAATAAAGCACCAAACTATGACCACCATGACACGTGCAAACACAAATACCGTACATTAAGCACTCCAAATAAAACTCATTATGCATGAATCATGTGCCAATGTTTCCACTCATCTTGACCATGGAAACCTGTGAATTTGAAAAAAAAAATGGAGCAACTCCCAATTAACTGAAAAAAAGTACTTAATTATAAGTTGTACATGATTAATATGTGGTAAATTGATGTCAGTTATCGCCTCTTCTTGAAAATGCTAGAATATGTTTGAATATTTAATCATGTGTCAGCAATGTTCATGTTTAAATGAAGTAAAATGAAATGACTTATTTTAAGAAAGCAAATTATCCTCATTCAAATCCAACATTCCTATATCACTGGTGTCAGAGGGAATCCTATCTCCAATTCAGTCCACGTTTCAAGAAAACAAACCAAAAACAAAAAAAAAAAATGCTTCTTGATTGAGCCATTAACATTTCATAAAAGAGCAAGCCAATATCATCACTAAAGCATGGTTAATAAATCGTAAAATAAATGTAATAATAATAATAATATCATTAATGCTTGCGTCAGTTATAAAAGCTGACTTTCATCCATTTTTACTACCACCTATCCAGTTCAGGTTCCATAGGGTGCTTGAGCTTGTCCAGCTGACTTTGGGTGCACGGACCCTGAACTGGTCGCCAGTCAGTCGCGGGGTACATATTGAAATGGACAATCGTTAAGCCTCACATTCACACCATTACTGAGTGGTAACTGAACCCCCGCTGCCAGCACTGAAGTCAGGCGAATGTCGATTGTTACTCCATCAGTGACTTACGTGTGAAGTGTTTCCTTCAATGTTTGTATTTCAGATGTATCCCAGTGCATCCAGCCTTTGCTAATCAGCATGAAGATCCCCCCTGTGGATCAAGAGAGCAGCCAAAGTCTGGAACAAAAAGCTCCAATGCCTCCACTCGTCAAAGAGGAACTGGAAGAAGTCTCGACAAGTCCCATGTTAAATCACTGTCAAAAATCAGAAGAGATGAATGCCTCTTTGGAAAATGAAGTGGTGAAAGAGAACCCACTTTCCTCCACTATGCAGCAAAGACAAAGTGTTGAGGACAGACAGGCAGCTTCTACTACTTGCACTTTATGTGAGAAAGTTGAATGTGAAGTGAATGAAGAAGGCTGTGGAAGCTCTGTGGCGTTTTTTGACTTGGATGCAGCTAATGTCATAAAAGTAACTCAAAATAGTCCGCCTGCACTTTTGAAGACAGACGACTTAAATAATAGCAGGAACCAGACTATTGATCGTCAGCCACTTTTGGACTCATGGAAGTACAGTGATCCTGAAACACAGCTTAGCTCTCGTAATCAGGTGAAGTGCACAGAGTGTGGTAAAATATTCAAATACAACCATAATTTGCAGAGGCACATGTCATGTCACACTGGAGAGAAACCATTTGGCTGTATTGAATGTGGCAGAAAATTTAATCAAAAGGCAAGTTTGGACAGGCACAAAAGAATACACACAGGAGAGAAGCCTTTTAGTTGCATGTTTTGTGGGAAAAACTTCACTCGGAGGGGATCATTGACTTCACACATGAGATTTCATACTGGGGAGAAGCCTTTCACCTGTGCCATATGCAAGAAGAGTTATAATAACAGAGGGACACTAGTAAAGCACATGAGAGCACATGACAATTACACACGATACAACAGTGAAATAAACTAGCAGTTAAAATGTGAATGATATTGGGCTTTACGCCGACTATTTCCATGATATCACAGAATCATATCACTGTATACTGTGATCCTTTCGAAATACAGTACAGTGGTACCTCTACTTACGAACATTTCTTTATATGAATTTTTCAAGTTACGAAACGTCTCAACAGGAAAATATTACCTCTTGTTATGAAAGAAATTTCAAGATACAAAAGGTAAATAGTATACACAGTATGGGCTGCTGCTCGCAGCTCCGAGTTTCCTGAATGCAACATACTCTGCCATTGGCTCTTACCTTGTATCTTGCTGGCATCCCATTGGCTAAGAGGGACCATCTACCATAAATTGATAGATATGTGTCGATGCAGTGTCCTCGTCATTCGCCCCTCAGGCCATGAGGCGTTCCGGGAGTTTTACTTAAATGTGAAATCACCCGGAAAAAGTGTTCACCAGTCGGGCGATCGCTCGCTCTGCTGATGTTTGCCTTGGACATTTTCGAAGGATTGTTAAAAGCCAACAAAAGCAGACGTCCTTGGATCAGTTCTTTACAAAACGCCAGGCAAAACCCACTTCTGATGATGACCATCATGTTTATTCTTTATTCTTTGTTTTTTACATTATGCAAATTTCCCCAGTGTGGGACAAATAAAGGTTATCTTATCTTAACTCTCATTTATTGTGCAATAATCTAATTGTAACATGTATTGTGACATATTTTGATGCATTTTTATGCTTTAGAAAACATTTATGTCTGCATTGGCGGGGGGGGGGGGTGTCTTGGAACCTATAAGGGCATTTACATGGAAAATGCATCTCTACTTACATAATTTTCTAGTTAAGAAATTTCTTCCACAACCAATTAATTTCGTCAATAGAGGTACCACTGTAGTTTATTAATGGTATCATATCATCATCTGTTTGACATTGCAGGAGTGAGGCCTGGGAGGTGGATCTGTGTGTGTGTGTGTGTGTGTGTGTGTGTGTGTGTGTGTGTGTGTGTGTGTGTGTGTGTGTTGGGGGGGTTAATCTGTAAAGCACTTTGAGTTACAATTTCTGTATGAAAAGCACTCTGTAAATAAAGTATTGATAATTGAATGCAGCATGTTGCCGTTTGTAGCAAGCAGGTAGCATACAGTCTGTGATGCTGGTGTTTAAGTTTTTTTAATGAAACCCCAGTTGGAGTTTACTGTAAAACTAAACACATAAAAATAATTTTAAAACTTTGCCAGTGCGAATGCTAAAATCAATTTAAAATCCTGTTTAAATGCTCAGAGGAAATTAACAACCTTGGGAGAAATGTTCCTTCAAATAATGAATATTTACACACAGATGCTGTAGAAACGCACACAGGGACTGCTATGGTAAAAAAAAAAAAAAAACCCCGCATTGTACCGAGCTAACCTATGAAACAGTGTCTGCTTTCTCCCATCACTGTCATCATCTTGCATCCCTTCCAACACTCTTACGGATGACACCTCCACAAGGTGGCGCAAATTTCCGAGCTAAAAGAAATTGCTTATCAGGTCATGCCTTTACGAGAAAGAAAATCATTTTAGGCAGCAAATAGTTCCTGAAGTGTTGCCGCACCCAGCAGTGCCAACCCTTGCAGCTGCACTTTTCACATATGCGAGGAACCACCACGGCTTCGTTTGCATGAAGGGTAAAATATATTTATAAGACCCATGCATAATGGTATCTTTTCCGCCCATCCGCTCTTAACACGACTGACTCCCCTGTATCCACGTTCTGCTAATTTGCGGGGTTAAGACAAGTGTTTTCCTGCAGTTTATTTGGGGTATATTATTTCCCCATTAGACTTTCTGATCGACGCTGTATGGATTGTTTCTTTATAGTTAAAATAGGGATTCGGATAGAAGCATAGACCTTTATCTTACAGTGGATGGGGTCTCCTTGGTTACACGACAATGTCAGCTAATAGAGACGAAGGATGGCCATGAGTGCGTCATAGTTATTATTGTTCATACCATCCACAGTCAAGGTTTCATTAAATGAAATTCATACACATCCAGAAAAATGCCCATCACACTCATAATCAAGCAGGAGCAAGTCTAAGTAAAAAAACTATGTTTTTATTGATCTTAGATTATGCAATTTTCTTTGGTATCGCATTGCTCTTGTGTACACTCATAGTTCACTTGTCACTCATGCACTGATTCGTGAGCTAACAGCCAATCAGAGTGATCAGTTTTCACTGACGCCAATTTGCATACTGTAATTAGAGGCTCATTACTTGGCCAAATTATTTGCTTGCCATGGTGTGAAAATAATTATTTTGATTTATGTCGACAACAAAAGTTGACTGGTCTCTGCCCCAAGTTGTGGGGTGTGTGGTTGGTGTTAGCTGTCCAAGACAATGTATCCAGCATCATGTACAAAGAAAGGATTTAAGTTATGAATATGTTTAAACTATGGTGCTCAAATATGAATTGGTTTCTGAAGCTTATCGGCAGAAGTTTGGACTTTGGGAAAAAGTGGAGTAGCAGACACATGTGGAATTTGTGTGTGATTTGACATCTTTACTGCTAGAGTAAAGGCAAAGGCCCAGTGCTGAAGGAATCCCCAGGGGAAGGTGAACATTGCCCAACAATTGCCAATGACTAAGCACTGCTTCGATGTAAATTATGTAAGTCAAGTGAATGAGAAACAGGCGGTGGAGCACCTATTGTTCCCTGCACCAATTGAACGCTCCCTCAAACTTCTGTGGCATTGTGATGTGTGATTAAGCTGTTCATTTCAAAGTGGCTTTTTGTTGTGGCCAGCCAAAGGCACACCTGTGCAATTACAATTCTAATCTTGAATTAGACTTTTTCACAAGTTTCAGAGGTGTTTTTCATTATTTATGAGTGGACAATGTGGGACCATATTTATACTAATTGTATTATGACTTAATTATGCCTAAAATATTGACCTGTGTGCTAAAATAAAAGTAACAAACTCGGGCTGATTTAATTCGTGTCACAAATCTCTTTTCAATATATCCTATTTTGATATATACGTGTTTTTTTTTTTTTTTTCGTGACATACCTACATCATGTAACTTATAAGATCTGGTTTTGGAGAATTGGCCCCTCACAGCTGAAGCCAGAGGGCAGCCATCTTATGCTGCCATTGGTACTATCACTTCTGTTGTTTTTTGTTCACTGAAAACGATGTTATCAGTTGCAACTGTCGACACTGAAAATAGCATTATTGCACTGAAAAAAGTGTGTTGTTTGCATTTAGTGAGATTTTTTAATGAGGCACCTGGGCTTGAACTTCACTGAGCATCTTTGTCATTGTGTGTTTGTTGTTTTTGTTTTTGCTTGGATACTTCTTATTGAATATATTTTAAATTCTCATTTAGCCCATTTGGCAGCATGGTTGTCGAGTGGTTATCACATCCGCCTCACAGTGCAGAAGTGCAGGGTTCGATTCCGGCTCCGGCCTTCCTTTGTGGAGTTAGCATGTTCTCCTCGTGGGTTTTCTCCAGGTATGCCAGTTTCCTCCCACATTCCAAAAATATGCGTGGCAGGTTAATGGAACACTCGAAATTGATTGTGAGCGCGAATGGTTGTTCGTCGATGTGGCCACGGTGTACCCCGCCGAATGCCCAAAGACAGCTGGGATAGGCTCCAGCATGCCCGCAACCCTTCTAAAGATAAACAGATTAGAAAATGGATGGATGCATGGACTCCCTGAAGTGCCTTCCTGTAGCCCCAGGGATATACGCCACAGAGGTCAGTTCAAAATAAAATCGCAACACATCGATCTGTACATGGATGTCAATGCCTTACCCAGCTTTTATTTTGAAGGTGGCCCTTGGAAGCAATTGTTGTGGCGGCTGACTTGACTTGAAAATGAGGTTGTATAGCCTGGCCGCAGTAAAGCAGACTGAGCTCCATTATTCCAGTGCGTAAAAGCGGGATGACAGATTTGAACCGGAGAGCATTATTCAGTTTGCAGTGTGCTCATTATGTGCATTCAGTGGCGGGCCGTGCATTTTAACCTTAGGCCTTCAGTGATGTCACATACATGAACACAATACTGTACAGGCTCGTCAAGCAGCACTTAATTTCAGGAGCATTTAAAACCATCAAGTATGCATTCACAATTAAGAGCAGGAAACTAAATTTACAGATAGTCAAAAATAAAAAGATGATTTAAAAATACGAAATAAAATGCCACCCAAATTACGCTGTGTGATCTTAAACAAGTCTGTCCAATAAATTGCGCAATGTCGCAGTTTCATACAGAGCAAGTTTAATTTACCTGGCAACACAAGCTAGCTGAAATATGATTGGTTAAAAACGCTACCATAATAAATAAGTTATTTATCGAGTGGCTTTCAATGTTATTTAAAATAACATTGAAAGCCACTCGACTAAGTGGAAATAATATGATGTAAAGAATACAGAGAATAATTTTGTTAACATATTTATGAAAATAAAATAACAAATTTATGTTATTCTCAGAAAAGTAAATTTACTTTTCTGAGAATGTTTAGGCCAGCAGAGAAGGCCTTGCTGGCCCTGAGGGTCCGCCACTGGGTGCATTCCAGCTCATGGAGGCATTTACCACTGCAAGCAAGGTCGCAAAGAAAACATGGAGTCCCGTTGCCGTCATAGGATTAAGTGGATCAGACTGAATTACGACACAACAAATGCTGTCCTGAACAAGGGGAAACCCACAGATTTATGATTATGTTCATGTGATTAATGGTAAGTGAGGTTAAATGTAAATAAATAAAAATATAAATGAATAATAAATAAAATGCAACCAAACTATTTCGAGTCCATCTTAAGAACATTTTAAGGGGACTTCCTCCCCCGAAAATAGGCCTAATACCATTGTTCTTCACCACTGGACCCTTATTTTGAAGTTAATGCTGGTTGGAAAAAGAAACACGGAGATAATACAAAACAGAGAAGGATAGTTTTAGACTTGCTGAAAAGAAGTTTCATCTTGCAAAACGTTTCCCAGGTCAGTTGATTGCTCATTCGTCACCAACAGAGCCTTAGTCGGGGGGAAATAGGATGGGCCAAACTGTTTAACCAATTTTTCAAAGTTTGGTGAGAAAATAGGGGTTGTTTGCAATTGTTCACATCAGGCTGCAAGTTTTATTGGGTAATTAAAATACAGAATATACATGTAGTGTATGCATATACAAATAACACTGTA